ACTAGACTAGCCATGCCCAGTTCCTGTAATTTTTCTTCATATGTTTTAGTCTCCAGTTCCCTAATCATCCTGGTTGCTCTTCTCTGTCCTTTTTCTAGAGTCTCAACATCTTTTTTATAGTTTGGTGACCAAAGCTGTGGTGTGGTCTTACTAAGGCTTTATAGAGTGGTATTAATACCTCCCTTGATCTTGATTGTATCCCTCTGTTACATAATAAAATTTGGGAATAAGAGATTCTCCTTTCCCTCAAACTATCTGTCACATCAATCTTGTATTGTATTAATATTATGATGACCACTACTAAGGAATATTATTACCGTTATGGTGATGTTTATTGCTCAAACTAACTGTAACCAGACAACACACACTTTATATAGATATTGAAATTGTTGCTCTTCCTTTATATAGCAAAAATATTTAAAATAAAAATAATTATATTGTATTCTGAAAAACAGAGAGAATTAGAAACCTTAAGGCAGGCGTCTTCAAACTTGACAACTTTAAGACTTGTGGATTTTAACTCCCAGAATTCCTCCTCCAGTCATGTTAGCTCAGGAATTCTGGGACTTGAAGTCCACAAGTCTTAAAGTTGCCAAGGTTGGACACCCCTGCCTTAAGGGAAACGCAAAGCTCTACGTTTCCAGCTTGGAAAACCTATTGGACCAACCAACTCCCCCAATCTAGAAGGAAAGCATATAGACATCCATAAATACAGAACCGAGAGCACCACAATGTGTTTCTCCGAAGTTTCCAAGCTCATTTGACCTTTTTCTACTTCAAACAAGTTCCCCAACTCACCTGACTTGGGCAGCAAGTGGAATTTGTGCATGCAATGCTGGTCCGTCAGACTCCGCTCTTCGCACAGCTGGTGCCCGTTGCTCCAAAATTTGTAGCAGTCCTCGTGCAACTGGAGGGCATACTTGTGAAAGGCCGGACCCCGTGCGTGTTGGCTGTAAACCCTCAACGCCTGGGCCAGCTGGCTCTTGTGGATGGTCATGGTGTAGTTATGGGGCAGGTTGGACTGATAGGCGCTGTGAGCCATCGGAAGGGCCTTCTGGCAACGGTTCTCGGAGAACTTGGTGTCGATGTCCAGGTAGCCTTCCAGCACTTTGATGCTGCCCATGATTTTGGAGGTCAGCTCTCCCCCAGGGGACGATTCATTCTCCTTCCCTTCAATCGCCACCTCGTAAAGCTTCAGGGCTGTGGCCACCCACTTCTGGTAGGTGGGCAGCTCGAAGTGGGATGGCTGAGGGTTCCTCCCCACGCTGTCGTCAAAGCCTTTCTTGCAAAGGACCAGCTCCACGTGCTGGAACAAGAATTCCTTTAAGGTGCAATCCACCAACTGCCCTGAGCTCGAACTGCTGCTACCACAGGCCCCGCCACTGCTCTCGGCATGGAACGACAGCTGCTGCCTGCTGTGCCGCATCATTTGGTACCGCCGGGGCCCTGACAAGCCCGTCCCCAGCGAAGGGTCAGCCTCCCTGGCCGTGCAGTTGTTTTTCAGCTGCTCCAGCAAGACGGCTATGGGGTCCTCTCCTTCCTGGGGGCCCCCAGCCACGATGTAGACGAAGGCTTGGTTAGCCGGCACGGTGAAAAGGCAATTGATGCTTTGGTTGGTCAACACCCGGCTCTTGCGGAAGATGCGGTAGATCTGGTCCTCCAAGGCGTGTTGGAGCCGGCGTTTCGGGGAGTGCTTCTTGGGGGGTGGCTTCTCCAGCTGGGCCCCCAGCTCTTGTCCCCGGCCCGGTGGAGGCTCCACCTTCAGGGCCCGGTTGAGTTGAAAGAGGAAGAGCAGGCGAGGCGGGCACGGCCGGCAGAAAAGCTTCCAGTCTTTGCCAACGGGGCAATCCTTGATGGCGGCCTTGAGGGTGGGCAGCACCTTCTGCCTCAAGCCGTCCAGCGCCCGGAAAACCCGGTCGTAGGTAATGTCGAAAGAAGAGGTAGGATGCACCATCAGGAGGATGTGACAGACGGAGAAAAGGTAGAGCAGGTTGAGGCAGTGCATCTTCTCCTGGTGCTTCCAGAACTCGTGGGCTTCGGCGTGAGGCAGCGAGGAGCCCGGCTGCACCCCCAAGCCGGCCGAGACAGCCCGGGCGGAGCCCCCCATGGCTTCCAAGTCCTTGCAAGCTTGCAAGAGCTGGTGGCTGTCGCTGATGGCGGTGAGGACCAGGTAAAGCACCTTGCTCTCCTGGCTGTAGAAAGCCTGCAGGTGGTTGTAGTCGCCCTGGCAAGGGCTGGTCGAGGAGGAGGAGGAGGAGGAAGAAGAGGCGGAGGAGGAAGAGGCGGAGGAGGAAGAGGAGGAGGAGGAAGAAGGCCGAGAGGGGGAATCAGCCAGGGGGTCCGGGCTTGCCCCCCCGGCAGAAGACCCCCGGATCCCCCCGCCACCCTCCCGCTGGAAGAGAGGGAAAACCTGCCGGTCGCAGACCGTGTTGACCAGCGCCGCCTTCTCCGAGCCCAGCTGAAGCGCCGTCTTGCCGAAAATGCCTACCACGCAGACTTCCTCCTCTTCCCCCGGGGGGGCAACCCCGGGGCCGGAAGCGCCGCCCGCAGCAGCCGGGGCCGCCGAGGGTGCAGCAGCGGCAGAAGCAGCGGCGGTGGCGGTGGCGGCGGCGGCGGCAGCGGCAGAAGAAGCAGCAGCAGCGGCGGCGGTAGCCCCGGCTAAAAGCAGCTCATGCAAGCCCACCGGGCCCTGCACGGTCGCGCCCCCCACCATTACTCCGGCCCTGCGCGGCAGGCGCCCGGCTCCCCCCTCCCCTCCGCGGACGCAGCTTCTCTCGCCCCGCGATCGGCAGCCGCTTCCAGCCACCGGGGAAGCCGCACCCGGGAGAGGCGTCAGAGCGCAGGCGCGCGCGCGGGTGGGGGTGGGGGGGCGAGAATATCCGCCGCGGCGGCAGCCAATCCGAGCTCGCCTTGGCAGAGAAGTAGATACTTCGCGTTCGATGACGGTAGATTGAAGGAAAGGGAAGAGCGGAGAATTCAAGGGGCAGAAGAGACTTCCGGAGCCTTCCTTGAGGATACTTCGGGGTCGATGACGGTAGATTGAAAAAAAAAGTAGAGCGGTAAAGAGATCGCATAAGACACTTCCGGGCTCCCTTGAGGAATAGCTGTCATTTAGCCATATACAGCTGTTCCTTGACTTTCGACCACAATTGAATCAGAATAGACCTTGGAGGTCTTCTGGTCCAGCCCCTCCCTTACTCTAGCAGGAGACCCTATACCAGTTCAGACAGGTGGCTGTCCAGTCTCTTCTCTATCTATCTATCTATCTATCTATCATCTATCTATCTATCTATCTATCTATCTATCTATCTATCTATCTATCTATCTATCTATCTATCTATCTAATCTATTATCTAATCTATCTCTCTATGCATCCATCCACTTATATCTATCATTATCTAATCCAACCATCTCTCTCTCTCTCTCTCTCTCTCTCTAGCCTGATCAAGGAACCACCAAGAATATTCCCACCAACACTGGCAAGGTAAGCCTCTTGGATATAAACAGAAAGCAAATCCCACTTCTAGCACAGATGATGTTACCTAGTTGGGTCACGAAATGTCTGCAAGAAAACAACAGAGCTCAGAGAATACCAAGCACCCTACAAATCATCTTCCATCATGCAGAATCACTGTTCTCCAATCATGGCAATTTACAGATGTCGGGCCCATTTCCCAGAATCTCCCGTTGCTGAGGATCCTCGAAGTTGAAGTTCATGCATTTTGAACTTCCCAAATGTCAACTCATAAAGCATTCCAATGCTTGTTTTCGAGTTGCCATAAGTAGGAGGGGGGTGGAACCTGAAGGAGCACTACGGAAATTAAAACCAGAAGTACATTCCACACTTATCTTACAAAGATGGTAGCTAGGCTTCCGGATCTTCCGCCCACAAAAATCCTTCATTGGAGAATTTGATTGATGACACCCAGGCTGTGAAAGTGCTTGTTGGAGAATCTGATTTATGACACACAGGGGAGGGGAAGGGGGGGGGAACAGGATCACAGGTGACTGTAAAGCACATGTATCACAGATTTGGCTTCATACGGGTCAATCCTGACACATTGCTCCTAATAAATTGTTTGGATTCTTTTGAAGCTTAGCTCGAGGCCCATGATTTAATTAGGGCAATCGCTGGAACCCTGACACCAAGGTGAGGAACGTGGGACTTCAAGCTGGGTGAAGAAACCAGTGTTCTCTATGCCTTGGATGGTAATTCCTAGCACACCTCACCATCCTGTTCAAGACCTCTTGAATTCTGGGAGTTGAAATCCACAGATCTTAAAGTTGCCAAGCTTGGACACTCCTTTTGTAGAAGAATTGCTATGAAATAATCCCTACCTTCTACTATTCTCTTGGAGACAATGAAATGACCACAAGTGAAGTCAGGAGAACCAATTATAAGCCACTCTTCCTTGTTCTAAAGATATTAAGATTTTATTCTTTTCTGCTGCCAGCTTTGCTTACTTTTTTGGCCTTTCAGGCTCAAAACTGAACAGACGTGGGAAATATATATCTTACAACATAAAGCGCAGTCGCACAACACCTTCAACGTGAGTCCTACAAACACCTTTTCTGTGTAACAATCCATTCTGTGATCATGCTAGGTGCAACCTGACCTATTAAGGGTTAATTCAAGATCAGATTATCCTCTCCTTATCCTTCACAAACTCTCCCCAAGGCTGGATGAGGAAGCATTCAAGATTCACCGAGACCCCAGTAACAGGAGGACAATCTTGAATTCAAGATACTCCTAAATTGGTCCTTCTGTGCTCGAATGCCACATATTTCTTCTCTTCCCTCCATCTTCTAAGAGACAGTACAAAAACTTTCCTCTCGTGTATAAAGTGTATACCAGCGGTCTGCAACCTGTGGCTCTGGAGCCATATGCGGCTCTTTCGGCCCCGTCAGCTGATCCCACCATTGGTTGGCCCCTCCCCTCCTGGCCTGAGAAGGTAAGGGTGATGGGCCAGGGGGTGGAGACTCCCTTCATATTTCAGGGCAGGAAGTGACTGGATCGGAGTGAGTGACATCGAGTTGGCCACGCCCACCCAGTCATACTGGTTGTTAAAATTATTGGCCCCCGGTGTTTTCTGTGGGAAGAGGGTCCAAATGGCTCTTTTGAGTGTTTCAGGTTGCAGATCCCTGGTGTATACAAATTTCTGCGCGCGCACAGCTTAGTTGCAAACACAGTGAGCCAAGAATAAATAGGATTCTTGCAATCTCAGGAAAAACAGTGCTATTTCTTCGGATCGACATATGTCAACCCCTCACCAAAAAAAGTCTTCATTTAAAAATATATCGAGGGAGGGTGTGTAAACTTTGTGAAAGAGCAGCTCAAAGCCAGGTAAAAATGGCAAAAGCTTTTAAAGTCAAAGCAGCTTCATCCAAGGAGTTTTGAATGCCCAGTGGGATGAGAAGGTAAGGTCTGGATATTATTTTAAGGGCCTTTCAGTACTAATGCGTTGCTACAGAAAGTTTCTTTTAAAAAAAAGCAGGACGGAGGGAAAAAAGCATATTCCAGCATGCCAAAAACAGGCCCAAGGAAATCCCTGTTCCTCGGTCCATATTGTTCCTCCGAGCAGCGATGTATCCTTTGTAGAAGCTTCTAGACACGACCAGATCTTCTAGCTCGGTTCTTGAAAAGTGTTTCTTGTAGGTAAGCAGGAAGGAGATGGACTCTTTGGGTGAGCCAGCTGTAGAAATAATAAATCAATATATATATATATATATATATATAAAAGCGAAATACTACTCATGCATCACCACAAAATCTCCAGAACCGTAAAGCCTACAAACTTGACATTTGGCACGTTATGTTCCTCTTGGCTTCTAGGTGCTCACTAAGAAAGGATTTTGTGAAATGACTATCAGAGCTATTAGTATTTCCTGTATTATTATTATTATTAACACGCTCTGATGCTAAGGAGTTCTACTCCCCCTTCCCCACCTGAAAAGAAATCTGTTCCAAATGCAAAACACAAGCAGAGGAGAGGAGTTTTACTTTCACAACACCAAGCAGCTTTAGTACAAGAACAGTTGAGCTAAGCCACGCCCAGGCTCCTTGCTGTCTCCTTGCTCACACAGCAAATACTGTTTCGGTTTCCAAACAGCCCTCAACTCTCTCACGCACTGACAGGATGCTAGCCAGAGGAATACCAATGGATGCTGGTAGGCAGAGGCAGAATTTTCTTTCTCTTATTTTCCTCCCCCAAAACTAAACCCGACCACAGAGTTTCGTCGTGAAGCACGGGTATTGAGCTAGTGAATAAATAGAACAGCTTCCAATTGTGTCCTTTATTTGTATCCCGCATTGTTATTTTTACAAATAACTCAAGGCAGTGAACAGATCCAACACACTTTCCTCCTATTTTCCCCACAACAACACGGTGAGGTGGGCTGGGTGGAAGGAAAGGGAGTGGCCAAAAGGCATCTTGCTGGCTTTCATGTCTAAGGCGGGTCTAGAACTCCCAGGCTCCTAGTGATTGGTCCAAAGTCACCCAGCCGGCTATCATGCCTGACAAGGAAGTAGACCTCTCAGGATCCTGGTGATTGGTCCAA